GGCTCCCTTCCTTGCTGCTGCTTCACGTTCCCACGAGGGATGAGGAGGTGTGCAGCTTAGGCCGCCGCCTGCTGCTGCTGCTCTTGTCACACCTTCTTCTTGGCTCGCCTTTTTCTCTTTCACCACCTTTTTCTTCCCCAAAGCTTCCCCTCTTTCTCCTTCACCCCCCCACACTTTCCCCTCCCTCTTTCTCTTCCCCTCTTTCACCACCTTTCTTCACCCCATAGATACTTTCTCCTCTTTTTCTTCCCCAAAGCTTCCTCCCTTTCTCCTTCACCCCCCCAGACACTTTCCCCTCTCTTTCTCTTCCCCTCTTTCACCACCTTTCTTCACCTCCCATAGACACTTTCCTCTCTTTCTCCCCCCCAAAAAAAATCATTTCCCGTTCTCTCTTTCCCCACCTTACTTTCCCCACACTTCACCTTGTTCTCTCTGCTCTCCCTTCACCTTGTTCTCTCTCACCTTGTCCACCTTGCTTTGCCATGCACCCACTTTATTGGCCAGATCCCACTGGTCCTAATGGGTTGGAACAACCCACTCTTATTTTGTTCTCTTCTGGGTGGGGTGGGGGAGATAAAAAGAGCGCTGATGGCGATCCCTTACACAAGAGAGACAGATTCTATCTGGTTCATTGTTGATCTAAGATTGTCTTTCCGCCACCTCACCCCACACTCATGTGGCATGTAGGGGAACAGTAAGCAGAAGTTGCCATTCCTGTCACTACCTTGTAGGTGATGTCCCTCCTCTATCAAAAAGAGGGAGGTAATGGAAATCTAAGTTTGATTATGATATGGGAGGTGAGAGTAGGCAAAGGGGGTGTGTTTCCGGTAATATTATTGATTCCATCTTGGGTGGGAAGGTGTTTCTTTTTCAGGTCTAAGTTGTTACATGAAACCCAGTTGTGGGAATTGGATAGAGGGCCCTTGTAGAATTTCTGGAGATATTGTTTAGCCAGTAGTAGTGGTGGTGATGTAATTACCTGCCTGCCGAGCTGGTGATAAACCTTAACTCGGGTTGACCCATCCCATTACATTCTGTGTCCGGATGTGAAAGTTGTGCATGCAATTCACACAACAGTTGTCTTGGCGATTAGTCAATACTTTCTGCATAAAATATATTTCCTGTTCACTACAGTGGTAGCCTCAAGAGCCCAGAACAGAGACTGCAACACAGAAACCATTTTCAAGAGACCATGCAGCCAGGGCAGTGTTAAGGAGAAGACATGTATTGAGGTGCATTGCTTTCCTTTGTACTCACGTTTGCCAAGGAGCAGTTAGAAAAAATGACCCCAAATCAACATCTCCAGCAATAGCTTTACTTTATTGCTGCTTCCCGACTGCGGCCTGCTTTGCTGCCCACCCAGCATAAGTGCAGATGAGGAGGCAAACCTGGGAATGATCTGTCTGGTTTTGCAGCAGTGTGCAGCTATTGTTACCACCCTTCTACATTTCATTGCCTGCAGCTAGGGAAAACGTCAGGAGATGCAGCTTGGGACAGTGAGTAAGAAGGGAACACTGAAGATAGGCAGTATGGCACATACTGACCTGCAGCCCAGGTTTTCCCTGAGTAAAGGAGGATTGAAGCCAAAGGAGGATGCCGTTGAGGCACAGCTGCCAAGCATGCACACACAGCCCCATTTCACTCAAAAGGTGGATGTTATCCTGTACTCTTCTTGTCTTGCATGGACACTGCAGTCTGCCAACTACCCCTTTCCAGGCCAATAGGAGAAAGTGGGTGCACTTAGTTTATAAGTTAAGTGAAAAGAAATGGATTCCTTTCACTCAAAAGGTGGATGTTATCCTGTAGTCTTCTTGTCTTGCATGGACTCTGCAGTCTGCCGACTTTCCAGGCCAATAGGAGAAAGTGGGTGCGCTTAGTTTATAAGTTAAGTGAAAAGAAATGGATTCCTGTTAAAATCAGGTGGCAGTAGCAGCACTAGCAGAAACTATATGAAGTTAAGTCAAGAGTAATTTGTGGGTCCCAAATATTGTTAGAAGGCCCATAGATTGCACAGACTGTGAGAATTACTGCTAAAATGGTATGTGGGATCAGCAGATTGTGTTTGTTAAGACTTGAGAAATTGTATTACAGTTGCTTGATTAATTAAGGTGGTAGAAGATGTACAACAGAAATATGAGCTCTGGTGCTTTAGCATTAATTTCTATATACTTGTATTTTATTGTCTTTTCTTTGTTGTGATTGCGAACCCATAAGATTAGGCCGTAATTGTTTGTACATATAGAAATTTAACAGTAGTTGCTTATATGGTATATGGCATCCTGGATTTGAATGCATGTTAGGGTACAGCACAATGTCACTTAAACAGATAAAAAGTTAAGTCAGTTTATACAGTACAAAATGTCTTCAAAATGAGGACATCTCTTGCTTTTCTGGAGTAATAAAGTTGCTCTTATAAGAGAGAGTATATGGTCAGAGAAAAGAGACTGAAACTGAGAAGGCATTCATATTTGCTGTGAATTGTTTGGACATGATTGGATAGGTTTTCTTAGGATTAACAGACCAATGAAATTGGAGTAGAATTTTAAAGTGTCTGCATTATTTTTCTATTGGCAAATTGATGCATGCCTTGTTGAAGAAAGTTGTAGTTTAAAGAAGTCTGAAAATTGATAACCCATGATGAAATTAGATGGATGTTGTGCAGCATAGTGTATGCCATAACTGCAATGTATATTTATTTTCAATTCACTTCACATACTTCATGTATGTCCACACTTTGTGACTTGAAATATGAATATGATAGCATTAGAGACGTTCAATAAGAACATCTAGAAATGTGTAGCCATCAAAATTCCAGGCAATCAGGTTCCTTTCCTATCTATTGCCATAACTTTGTGGCCACTGCTTATGCCCACCTGTTGCCTCATGTTTTTTTACTCATCAACTTAGCTTGTATGATTCTATCAATGCTTTCAGGCACGGACATTATGTCTTGTAAATATCCTTAAAGTAGTAGTTGTAACCTTTAAATATAATTATGGTACGAACATACAGTACCTGTACCAGCTATGCCCATGTGACAACTTTCCTTAAAGGAGGAGTGTAATGTTTGTTTCAGTTAGCATTGATCTGATTCTGAATCTTCAATTGTAGGTGGTGCTGGTGTTAAACACAGAAGTGCTTCTTAATTAACATTGTACATTACAGATTGTCAGTCTTATGATACTACTAGTGAATGAAAAACAATATTCAAATTAAACTTAATTTGACGCTATTGTTCAGTTGTATTGATATTGTGTTTGTGGTGGATTCCAGTATACACTGGTGGAAATCTTGTAGTTAGCATCACCTAAAGTTATATGGCGGAGGTTCACAGTGAATTACTCACGGTTAGTCTGTGTATCTGATTGTGTAATTAGTTGCAAAGCTAATTGTGCAGCTAGTTTGCTGATGTTAATACTTAGCAGTCTTTAAAATATCCAATTACTCTTGGCAGTTTGGACATGGTTCAATATGTATGTATGTATTGTGTGCCATCCGACTTAGTCAGTCCTTTCCGGGGCTTTCAAGGTAGACAATACTCAGAAGTGGTTTACCATTCTTCTGGGTCACCCTGGGCCAGGCAGCTTGCCCAGGGCTGCTCAGGCTGGCTCTTCTGAGATGCATAATGGGGATTTGAAATCCCAGTTTCTGGCTCTGCAACCAGATACCTAAACCGCTGGGCTATCCAGCCAGCTGTGGTGCAGCATAGTGTTTTGTTTTGTTTTTTACCATTGAAAAGGATAGGCACAGAGCCCAACAAATTGTGCAGTGCATTTACATTCTACAAGAACTAGTGTTCCAGTTTATTGATCCTTAGAATATGGTGTGTACTTGTGGGAGGGGAAGAGGACATTTTTGGTTGCCAATCAGATTTGAACATTGTATAATTTTTTTTAATGTAGGAGTAGGGCATTACAGTGTGGGGAAGGTGTTCTTTTTTATTGTTATTTCATCCCCTCTAAAATATATATCTATTATACGGGGATGGAAGCCTATTAACACAACTTTCTTAGCTAACCCTATTGCACTCCCAGTGTCTTTCTTCAGCTGATACTCTGTATCTCAGCAGCTCTCTATGGTAGACTTAATTGCTGCACATTTTGTCTGACTTGCTTCCTTAAACCCGGGTCTTTTCCCCCTTTTGAAGAGGTAAAAAGTAAGAACTCTGTAGAAAATAATAATGAAATCTCGACTTCTAGTGTCATTGTGCTTAAGTAATACTTTGTGTCCACTCCAGACAAAGTAAGATAATCAAGAAAGGGGTATACAATCCTGGAAGGGATTCCAAGAGTCATCAAGTCCAATCACCTGCTGAAGCAGGAAATCCACATCTAAAGCATACTTGACAGATGACCATTTAACCTGCTTAAAGTACCTCCAATGGAGAGTCTACTACTTTCCAAGACAGTCCATTCCACTGTCAAATAGTTCTTGCTATCATTAAGTTTTTTATGTTTAGGCAAAATCTCTTGCTCACAATTAGAATCTTTAATTCAGGCTCTGTTCTTAGAAGTTACAGAAAGCAAACATGCTCCATCTTCTACATAACAGCCCTCTGAGTATTTTAAGGTGGCTATTATATCGCCTCTCAGTCTTCTCTTCCTCGGGTGAAACGTGACCAGCTTCCACAGTCATTCCTCATAGGGCTTGGTTTCCAGACCTTTAACCCACCTGGTTGCTGTCCTCTGGCCATGTGCCAGCATGTCAATATCAGTATCAATATCCTTCCTAATCTGTAATGCCAGAATTGGATGTGTGCCTGTTAAATGTTGTCAAGACAGAATTGACTATTAGCTACCCTTCAAACTGAGATATTTAAGAAGTGGTTTTACTAGTGCCACCCCGACCCATAAGTTTCTGAGTTCATATCTACTGGAGATTTGAACTCATATGTCCTGACTTGTAGTCTGCAATTCTATTGGCTACACCATGCTGGGTATCTAGAACTGAATATATTTCTGCATTTATTGATTACTATAAACCTGGAGGTTCAACCTCCAGTCAGTGGAGTGGCTTACTGATCTTTATTGTACTTTATATGTTTCCTCTAGTTTTGCAAGTAATATATAGTTCTCTTGACAAGGACCCAGTGGATAGCTTTATTCTGTTTAAACAGGTCGGGCATATTAAAACTGTTCAATTTGGTAGTCACAGACACATTTTTCAATTGCTCCAGAACTGCAGATGGGAAAGGCAACTTTTAGTACATGATGCCTTCCCTTGCATCCTTGTTGTAGGAGGACTGAGGGTTGCTGGATTGTGTTTATGTGTGAGAAAGAGAGAGTTACGAGAGGCATATCATCAGTACCTGTTCCTTGTAAAATACCTTGAGGATCATTTGATTGAAAGGCAGGATAGAAATCTTAAAAATAAACAAACTACCATTAACATTCATTAAGTTCTGGAATCTTGTAAGTCATCAGACAGCTTTAAGTGGTTAACATTTGTACCTGTGGAGTCATCTGAAAAATCACTCCCTTCTCTTGTAGTGGTTGTGGTTTCTTCCATACTGATATAATTCCGCCACCCAAATTGACTGTTAGAAGGAATTATATATACAGAATTTCAGCAAATTTCAAAGAATAGAAGAACTTACTAGCTTCAATAAGCTGAACAATATGATGTATAGTCCAACCTACCACTTCCTTTTGCTTCTTCTGTTTACTGACACTGACATGTAAACAAAGCTGCTGCTTTGAATTCATAGGGGCATGTATATATTATAACTGCTATTGATGTCAAGGTCCTTGTTGTTTCTAAGAAACTAATCAAGCTTCTTAATAGATGAGAATTATTGTTGTTACTGAATGATCTCCAAAATGACCTGTCCTCAACAGTCCTGCTTAGTCAGCTCTTGTAAACTGATGAGAATTAGTGGAGGACAAAGTAGAGAAAGGGATATAATGCAGGTACCAGCACAAGTTCTGGGAATCTTAAGTATGACATTAAGATTGTTGGCATTCTGTAGGAGTCACACACAAACTGAAAAATGAGGAGAGAAAAGGCTTAATACAGGCACTGCTGTATTCCTGTGATTCACCTATGTTCAGTCTCAAGCATTGTTTTTTTTTACTTCATTCTGTTTTTAAGGAGCATACTTAAACAATTCCTTCTGGAAAGTCCATTACTTGAGTAGTTTCAGTACTTCTTGAGCTAATTGAATTTCTGCCTAGCAACTCTTTATTAATTTATTTACAGCATTTTAACATTTGTCCTTGCTCTGTCTTACACCTTTTGGTTGGTGATTGGAACCTGGAAAATCTAGATGAAAATGCATTCTACTACATGAATGTCTCTAAAGGGCCCTGATCAAGTATTACTCAGCTATATATAGTTTAAAAATATGTGTAATTTTAATTTCTGATTTGTTGGTTGTTGAGATACGCCTTGAACTTGAAGTGCAAGTGGTTTAACATTTGTTGTGTTTATGTACCAACAAGGAAACATCCAACATTCTGTTGCACAAGTGGAAATTGAATTCCTGTAATGGGGATCATGGCTTGTGCTATGGCTGTAGCAGTTGTTTGCATAATGATGCTGGCCGGGCTTTTTGCTCTGCCAGCATTGAATAGGATTTTGACTCTAACATATAATTTATGTGTATATCATCATTTTACCCACTGTCTTATAGTGCTACCCTAAGCACATTATGCAGAAGCAACTCTCATTAAACTTCTCTGGGGTTTGGAATCATAGTTTTGTGGATATGCTCTTTGAAGAATGAATTATTATAAAAAATGTTTTGTTAACTAGCACAAAAGTCTGTACTTCTCTGAATAAACATTTTTTTCATAGTTTTTCCTTTCTCTGTTTGTTGTGAAATACTTCTATTTGTTCTAATATATCTCTATTTTTGTAACAGCCCATAAGAAATCACATCTGTTCTTTCAGACTTTGGATTTGATCACATGGCAGTCATGTTACGCTGCTGGAAATTGGATCACTTTCTGTTTTCGTCCCAAAAGCCATCTTTCTCAAGTGACACAACTTTGAATATGAGGATTCTGACTTTTTTTTTGTGGTATCACAGAGTCAGCTCTTTAAAATTTCCTCTTGGTTTTTCCAAGAGAGAGGCCTAATTTTTGTTGTGATGTAGTAATTCTAGCATATATTCTAATAGGCACTTCATGGGTATTTGGAGAGATTCTCAGTGGATCAAAACATTTTGAAATGTTGACAATTTCTATCTAGCATTCAATCTTTGGTTTAGTATATTAATCAGTGTCTCGTTTAACTTTTCATGCAGTTAAATTTGCATGTAAGGTTGATATACCTCTTGAAGAACAAACATTGTTTAAAAGTTAATTGTGAACAATGTGGTAGACAAATTCATTTCAGAATCGACTTTTAAACATGTATTTGGATATAATATATATTTGGGCCCTTATATCCTATATAACTGAAAAAGTAAACCCATGATTTTGTGTCAGCATATTAATGCTGCCCTATTGGGGGTATTTATTTCAGAAGTAGCCATCACTGAGAAGCTAACACGCGTCATAGAGGGAAGAGTCCTACTTGCCTCAGTCTCACCTATATGCAGAGGTCATATCCTGTCTTTGGTAAACTGAGCATTAGTGCTCCCTAAAAGTCATCAAAGTAGCAGGCAGAATAGAACATTTGTGTGACTCTCAGCATGCATTTTGAGGGATCATTATAGGACAGTTAAATGAAATGAAATCACTACTTAAAGCTATCATGCATTGGGGTTTGCAAGCTGTCTTTCTCTGAAGATTTGTATAATAGTAGACCAGAAGAGTTGTTGAAGTGAAGTTTAAAGAACATTAGCAGATTTCTTGGCTGGAATGGTAGAGGCTGTGAAATAGGGTTAAGTAATCTGCCTTTTGTTGCTAAAATCCCTAATGATGCATTTTAGCCCTTTATTGAGGGGCTAAATGTTCTTTCCAAAGCAAATGTTCATATGTTGGTATTTTCTCTGTTGTTCAGGAAGCCAGAGTGGAAGAAACAGAAGAGTATTTTGTTTTTTATTCTGACAGTGTCTATTAGGATGGAAATTAAGTGTGCATTTGATTTGTGGATAGCAGTCTGTAAGAGGTCAGGGGTACAAAATAATCTGACTGGTAGTTCGATTGTGATGTAGAGGGAGAACCCATATTTAACCTGCAGAATGCCAAGTTACATTCTTGGCATCTTCACAGCTGAAGGATGTTTAGCATGAGGGCTAGGATACACAGCTGTCAGATCTTGGAGATATGCTGCCAGTCTGAGAAAATAGTGATGTCATGATAGAGCAAGAGTTTGAAAAGGTGTAGGGTGTGTTACCTTAAAATGTTGCCTGAAGACTGCAATTCTGTCCTCTTATTTAGACAGCTTCTTGTTAACGTAAGGCACAGTATTCTATGCAATAGCAGACAAGACAATGGGCAAAATCCTGTTGGCATGAAGTTATGCTGTGCAAACTGTATCCAGTTCTGGCAATAGTGAATTTAAATTAATTGAAAGCTTCCTATCACCTTTCAGGTTTTGAAGCTGCCCAGAGCAATCTTTTGCCTGTGGAAGCTTCAGAACGGGGGTACAGAGCCTCTAATAATCAAATTTTGGTGCTCTTTCTATGGTCAGTGATTAATCTTGGCAAGTTAATACTGGGAGATCAACTTCTTTTATTGTTTATTAGCATTTATGCACCACCATCGGGAGTCATCTTCTCTATTAGTGTGTTTAAAACTTTTCTATCGCTGTCCAAATTGGTGACATCACTATGTTTTATAGTAAATTTCACATATGAACTGCATGTAATGTGAAGAACTTCCCTTTTTGTGGTATCGTATTACTTACTGTTACATGTTACTGTTACATGATGTCAAGTTGCTTCTGGGTTGTGGTCGCAGCAGAGATTTCAGGATATGTGAGATGTTCAAGGAGTGGTTTAGGGTTTCCATTCCATGTTGAATTTCCATGGCTGAGCAGGGATTTTTGAACCCAAGGCATCTGAGTCTTAGTCCAACACTTCATCCACCGCACCATGCTGGGTCTCATATTTAGCTTAGAAATGGTCAGTGTAAATAAGCTTATGTTAGTCTTTCTTCTGTGTATGTATATGTAGTTTGTATTACTGTATATATCAGGTACAAAATCGAGGTATTCATGCATAGATAATACTAAGCATAGATGAAAAATTATCTGTTTAGTATTTTATGTGTTCAGCATATATTATATTTTGGCAGGTGCAATGAAAACAAATCTGTTACAAAAGTCTACAAAATTCCCAATATCCATTAACTTTTCTTATGTTAGAGGCTGATCATATGATGACTCAATTTTAGCTTAATATATGCATTTTTTCTTTCACTTTTCTTCTCAGTTCTGCTGTGCTGACAGTATTGCTGTGAGGAAATATTTTGATCGACAGCAAAGTGACAGAGTGCAGTGCACATAAAGCATCTAATTTTTTTCACCAGATGGTAAGATTTTTGTTTTGGTTTGGTTTTTTGGGGGGTTAGATAATTGTTCTGAAAGCAGAATATGTTTTTCAAACCACTCTTGTTTTGTAATAGTTGACCAACAGTGTCTTAATTGCCTAGATGACTTGTGAAATGGCAGTTAATGCATGTTTTAAGGCCTATAATGTGGAATAGCATATGCTATGTCTACAATATTGTTTATTACTGAATGACAATTGCTTGTCACATTGTCTCTCTGTAAGCAGGTAGCCACATAGTGTTTCAAGGGGAGCTGAGTGTTGCAGGAGGTGGGCAGATGCTTATAACTGTTCACAAGAAACACATAAAGATACTTTCCCCACATATGTATGCATGTAAGCTCCATATATGAACCTTTTTGCTGAAAATAGCTGGCCTTAGTTGTTGATAGAAAGGAGCCCTAAGGCACATCTTATTTCTCAACATGATCTGTGGGGTAACAGAAACTTAACAATCTGGAGGGCCTTTTCCTGCTGTACAGGGTCCTGTAGGTTATTAAAGATTGTTTCTTCTGTAGAAATGAAGCTTAAAAGGAAGAGTAGATTGTGGTGCTTAGATTAGATCCTTAGAGTGGTGCCAGTGGTGCTCTGCACTTCTGATGGGGCTTTCAAACCATCTCCTCCCCATTGGCAGCCATCAGCAACCCTGGAAATCTGCTCTTGAGGCTATAGGGTCATGTCAGAATATCACTGGAAGTAGGAGAATTCTGAAGAGGGGATTCCTTAAAACTGGTGGCGGATTAGTAGAAACCGTGCATGGGTGAACACAAGGCATGTTTGCATTCAACCCAATCTGTTCAGAATCAAAATGAGAAAAGTTTTGAAAACACTGAAAAAGATAATTGGAAATAGACTGCTGATGCATATGGCTTTAGAATGTTGTTGGCTTCTCTGTTTTCTGCTATTTCTTTCTTGTATTTTCAGTTGTCCCCACCTCTTTTCACCATTAACTATGATGTACTATTATCATTATGCTGAGATTAATGTTATTCATTGTTATTCTCAACCAGGATCTGGAAATCATTTTCACATCCTGATTTTAAAACCCACAAGTGAGGAAGAAAATAAGTACAAACCCAAGCAGCTCACTCAGTCTCGTGAACTTCTGACATGTTTAAAGTTAAATTTTGGTCAAATCTACACCAGACTACAGTATTCATGTATGGATTTTGTACGGACCAATGGTTGCCTTCCTTAGCTAAAATTTGCATTAGGTATTTTTGAAAGTTATTTATGGCTTGTGTTGACAGCACCTGTGCTTTGAATCAGATTGAAGTATAGTGTGTACCACTTTATGAGAAAATGTGATGCTACATTAGTACTGTATAAGTATTCTGGATCAGAGTGTCAGTTCACTGTCAAGTATCGTTTATACTTGCAGGAATGTGAAGTGTCAAGTTTGGGCATCCATGCCTTGTGCATGGGGAGTGACATATTTTATATAGCATTCCTGAGCAGAGTCGTGATACTTGAAAGCAATGGAAGGAAATATTGTGCATTAAGCAATTATTTTGAGAACTAGTGGTTTACTTCTAATACTCTAATTTGTGTTACAGATTTCTGATCCTTATGGACTGTCTATCAACAACCAAATATTTTCCCAGGATTGCACAAAACAGTTGTGGCAGAGATGTCCTACCTATTAATGGATGAAGGTATCTTTTGTTTGCATTAGCTATTCATTAGATGAAATATGATCTCATTTATCTTATCTGTGTGCTAAGCTTTTAGTTTAACTTCTAATTTAATTATGGATCTGCTTTATAACTTTATCAGTTGAATTTGGATGGATTCTGATTACAATTTTTTGTTATATATTATTGATTTTTAAATGTATAAGTTAATTTGTGTTCCTGACCCCTTGACACTTCTTCAAGGAAGTGACGTTTTTAGCTTTGCTGAATTAGTGGTTCATTTTGTGTCTGGTTCCATTGTGAGGCTTAGGTCATGAAAGATTTCAAGACAAAGTGGATGAAGAGGCTTGCTTTTTAATTTCCACCCTTTGCAGTGACAGATATGAATGTTATCTCATATTACTCATTTTTGGTAGTATTCAGACCCGAAGGTGTAGTAAACCTGTAGCATTTGTGAACAAAGATATATCTTTCAAAAACCAGCTAAAGTTTCTTTAAAATCAAAATCAAGTTTTCCCAATATTCATATATTTTGGGAATGTGCATGTAAAGCAACCATGATCACTGTTACCTCTTTTTAAAATTATCTGATGATCTTGAGGACGTCCTCATAAATAGCCTCCTTTCCCTTATTTTCATATTACTGTGAGGAACTTCATGAATATGCTTGGGTGGGGTATTTTGCCCATAAAGACAAATACATTTCTTCTTGTGAATGCAACTGTTTACATAGCATCAGAATCCATTCTGGGAGATCTCGTGGGGTACAGAAAAGGCACATGAGAGCTGCAGTGGGAAAGAATGGCAACTCCATTGCAATTTCACAGATTTCACCTGCAGTTCACTTGGCATTTCAGCTGAAGGAAATGCCGTTGATTCAGTGAAAGTTTAATTTAGCTTAAGCTTCCTTTGTGTTACTACTTACTTGAAAGTAATTTACATTTGAAATCCCAGGAAAGATGTCCAGGATTATAACTTGTATTTTTATAGGTTGAAATGTTAAGTAACTTGAAATTCTGGGTGTGGGTATTAGAGTAGATGACACTGATATTTCTTTCACTAAGTTGGATTTTATGGATTAGTTTGTTGGACATGATTTAATCTTTTGAGTGGTATTTCCAGTCTGGACCTTTTGTATAAATACTTACAACTTGGGAATTTAATATTCTCCACAGTTTTACAGAGAACTAGCGATAACATTTATTTAATTGTTAGCACAATGTAAATGTTATTATAAATTTTGTTCTATTTTGTTCTTACAAGCAGGAATTCTGCTGTTTTCTAGTTATGGTAGGTAGGTACACATAGTATTAGTTCCATGCACCAACAGATCACAGTATTTTTGGTTTCATAATTTTGAAAAGGGCCCACTTCAGTTCTAATTGCTTTAGAGGCTCCTCAACTTTATTCAGAAATTAGTCAGAATCATACTTCAGAAATCCAAAACTTTTACCTTCCAACTGACTCTTACTGGATAGCATCATCAGCCAATCCCTCTTTTGCTTTTTTGTCAGAAAGTACAGTCATTGCAGCACATTCTGAAGTGATGAAGCTTGCCAACTTAGAGATGGATAGGTACAGAGATGCTTCATATTATTAAGATTTGTGGTGCAGTCTGTAAAAATGGTAGACTTAATTTTTTATTGTTCTTTGTTTTGTTTTCTGGTCTGTTGGTAGCACTAAAGTCATAGAAACAAATATTTTATACTTGCTTGAATGGAAGGATGGCACTTTATTCCAGGGATGGGCATGTGTATTTCTAAATTTTATATAAGCCTCTGATGTTGCCCATTAAATCATCTGCAGCATGTTTAACCTTGAGAAAAGAAGACTGAGGAGACATATTACAGCACTTTTCAAATACCTGAAAGGCTGTCATACAGAGGAGGGGCAGGATCTGTTCTCAATCATCCCAGAATGCAGGACACGCAACAATGGACTACAGTTACAGGAAGCCAGATTTCAGTTGAACATCAGGGGAAAACTTCCTAACTGTTAGAGCAGTACAGCAGGGAAACCAGTTACCTTGAGAGGTGGTGAGTGCTCCAGCATGGAGGCATTCAAGAGAAATTTAGATCTGGCATATAAGCTTTGATTTGGATTCCTGCATTGATCAGGGGGTTGGACTCAGAGACCTTACAGGCCCCTTCTGACTTCATTATTCTATGATTTGATTCAAAGGTTTTGGCTTTGGATCTAGACATAGCCAGTGGTGAGAGATTATGGGACTTGCTGTACAAAAATATCTGACAGACCATCTGTGATTTCTTAAGAAAATTTATGCTGCAGAAGTTGCCCTCATGTGTAGTATAGAGAGAGTCTTTAAAATGTGGAGTGTCTTCAGATGGGTTTGCCTTTTTCCCATTTGGTGAACAGATTGTTATGTTCTGTGTGTGATTTCTATGTTAGAGGAAAGTTCAATGCAGCCATAAAAGTTATGTGCTTGCAAAGCCCTCAGAGCACCCTCTTCCTATCTCTAAGCTATTTTGGGCTGAGATGGTGGTATAATTTATCTTTGTTTCCATGTCGAAAGCCTAGCTCATTGCTGGGCTTTGCATTAAGCAGTAAAAGAGGAGGTGGTTAAGGTGACAAATATCTCCGCCATCACCTCGAAGCTGTATTCCTTGGATTTTTGAACTTATAGCTCAATCTGCCTTTATTAACAGCTGGGAAAAAGTAGTGAGGGAGCTTGACTTGGGTTATGGGGATTCAGCATAACTTCACAAAGCTCCTAGCAGGGTTTTTGAGTGAGATGAAATATTTAAGGAATGGTTTTACCAGTCCTACCTCCGAAGTGAATTTCCACAGCCAAGCAGCGATTGAACCCAGGCCTCCTGAGGCCTAGCCCAATGTTGCCTTCGATATATAACATGGGCTCAAATGTTGGTATAACCATAATGTATAATAAAGAAATGTGAAATATATTTTCCATGACGGGACAACCCAAAGATCTGTGGGATACTCGGCTTGTCCATTGAGCTGCCATTTTTATGGTGCTCTCTATTTAATTGCTCTCACAGTGGAAACAACTAAAACCATGGTTCTTTCCTCCATGGCTGGCCTGTTGTGTCACTATGCCCTGTTGTGTTAACTTCTCCGGTTGTTGCCTTTTAGTAGACAAGGAAGTCGAGAACAAACCCTGAATTATTTCTCTAGGGAGAGAACAAACCCCTGGCATGGGAAACTTTTCAGTGCCTGATAACACAATCAGTATACTAATAATGTAACAAAGCTCCCTAGTTGCTTTGGTTATTCCTGCTGCAAGTAGGTGTGATCAAGCAGTGTGTACCAGCATACTGATTGTTTCTTTCGAGCCAATGTTCCTGCATACCCTTGGCTAGTTGTATCACGTGAATTGGCTGTTTTTCTGTATGGAATATGAACCAAGGTGAAATCTGAAGTCTTATAGTATAAATGTGACACTATGGAACATACCCTTTATTAAGATGCATATGCTGAATATTTATTTATTTCCAACCATAGAGAATAGACATGTCTTTTCCCATGATGTGAAGGAACACAGTTTTGCTCCTTAGCTACGGGCTGTTCTTTCTGGGAAGTTCTGAATTCATAGTCTTCAGATTAAGTAGTATGATACATCGTCTTGATTAATCTTCATATATGAGATATGTGGATTGCCAAACACAGACTCTTAATTACCCAGTTTCTTTTCTAAACTCCTACAAATTGTATAGTGTTAAAGGCCTAAGGACTGCATGTTCAAAAATGGCCGACTGTGTTCCTGAATATTAAAAAGGTGTGTACATGCATATACATGGATGCATATGCAAACACAAACAAGACATTTATTAAAATAATCTCATATGAAATCAATCCACCCTGCATTTTTTCTATTTTTAAGTGTCACATGTCCAGTGAGAAAAGTGTGATATGTATTGTGGGTTGATTAAAACAAAATCCATACTGGCGTCATTAATATCATAATTTCTTTTCCCCCATCTTTTTAAAGGCTATTTTAAACACTTCAAGACATTTCTGCAAAAATTCTAATGGACTTCGGCATGGCTTAGCTAAGGTGTTGGTCACTGCAAATTATCTGTTATTGTGTACTACTAAGAGGCAACTAACTCCACTTGGAATAGCGTCAAGGTAGCACAGGTATATCAAGATGACAGATCCTATGATGGACTTCTTTGATGATGCTACCCTCTTTAGTGATACCTTAGAAGGCTTATCAGATGATGCCTTTGTGCAAACTGGACCTGTTTCACTTGTTGATGAATTGAACTTGGGTGCAGAGTTTGAGCCTTTACACATCGACTCATTAAACCATGTGCAGGAAACACAGACTCGGCAAAAGATGAATGACTTTGAACAACTGAATCAGTATGATTCACTGAAACTTCAAGTAAGTCAGTCCTTCAGCAGTTCATCTGAACATGTTTTGTCACCACACTCTGAGTTTAATTGCTCACCTATTCACCCCCAAAGCCAAACCAATGGGTTGTTTCCTGATGTGGCAGATGGAAGCCCAATGTGGGGACACCAAACCTCCAGCAGTGTTTCTAATCAGAACGGGTCCCCCTTTCACCAAGGACATTCACAGTCTATGCAGCAAAATAAAGGTTTTGTAGCACATCACGATTTTGCCTTATATCAGGCCAGCGAACAGCACCGTCCATGTACCTCACTACCATCCCAGCAAAGCAGAAATGGCATCAATACAGAAGAGGACAGTCACAATCAGACAGAAAACTTCATGGAAGTTAATGCTTCTATACCACATAGAACTAATGTCCCCCATCCACCTCAAGCTGCTAATCTATCAAGCTCACAAGAGTCTATCTCTGTTCGGTCATTTTCTCAGAATTCAGCTGAATCACCTCACTTCTGTGAGAATCAAGAAGGGAACTTTGATGCACACTCTCCTACTATAACACCAAGCTCTGTTGTTAATACCCAATTTTCACCTCCTTTTTCCTACTCCAGTAACCACATCTCTCCCAACAGCCTTCTACAGTCTTCTACGGCTCTTTCTGTTACTCAGCAAACACATGCGCTCTCTGACTTTCCTGGGAGTGATGCCTTTTCATCCCGAAGAGGGACCAAACAAGAAAATACAGATAACATTCTTAATTCAAGTGCATCATTGAATTCAGATAATTTCCATGTGTTGCATCCAGCACATCCTCAGGGCAACTTCAGTAGTTCAAAACTATCTGTGGTGAACATTAATTTTTCTACCCCAGCTGGCTCTGGTCCTCAGCTGAGCCATTTTAGTGATCCTATAGAAGGTAACGGTTTTTCGTCTTTGGATGAGAACTTGCTTCATCAAGTCGAGTCTCAAGCTGAATCATTTACAGAACTTGATCCAGAAACTCTACTTCAGGAAGATCTTCTTCCACAGTTTGACGAAACTGCATTTGTTCAGGATAACTCAAGCAACGAGTTAGAACATCACCTAGAGCACCGTGTTGTTTCACAAATAGTGCAGCCTTCACATCACGCTCAGACTCAGTCTCAAAACTGCAGTCATCCCTGGTATCCTTCCAGTTCTACTCATCATCTGCAAGAGCGAAAGCGTATAAATGCTCAAGGACAGGTAAGTGATTCTTTATGTTACAATTTTGCTATTTAGTTTGCTGTGAGTAAGAAGCAATTGGTCCATCAAGCAAAACTGGCTTTCCTCAATGAGAAGCCCTCCCTGCCTCTAAGTGTGTGTGAGAATGTAGAATTGTACCAATTAAATTTTGGTAAATTAGCTGTTTGTAGTGAATTAAATACTGTATAGCATTGTAAATCTAAACTGTAAATACATTTTACACACTTTTGCCCATCTTAGAAAGTATATAGTTTTGCAGTACAGTAGGATCCCCCCCCCATCTGCAAGATCAATATACGCTGTTTCACTTGTCTGCTGGCTGAAAATAATAATAACCCCAGAGCTATATCTATTTATATGTATTTCTACGGTGTATTTATCAGAACTTGGCACTAGAGTGAGTCAGAAACCATGCAATATATAGTGTTTGATACTCCTGTATTTCTCAGCATCTGCGGGGATACCATGCTCCTTCTGTATTTTACAAACCTTCAATGTGTATTGTCACTTCATCTGTTTGATTAGATACACAACTGTCATTTTAATGGGGAAAGGACATTATGAAACCTCTATGCCATTATTACAAAGCTCCCTTAGTTTGTAGACATTTACTACAAGGCATGAGCCACAAGGCCTTAGAATATACTCCCTGCCAAAGCTTCCCTGGAGGTAACTCTTACTTGTCATTTGTGACAAGGTGACTGCCTACTTCAGAAGTCTAGGTTGCAGAGCTTGCTCTTTGTAGAGGTATCTGCCAAGAACTAAATCTTGCATGCAGGAAATAAAATTGCTTCTCATTTTTCTGTAAAGATAGAGCAAAGTGTCCCATGTATGTCAATTTTGTTGTATGTGTCACATGCAAAAACAGTAACATTGCCAATACTTGAAATTTTACAGTCAGAGCTACTAGTCTAAAAATTGTTTGTCGGTATATTATAGAAGTTTGATGAACCATTGCACAGGATAATGTTTCCAGATATGTAGTGCCATCTGAGCATTGTAAAGTGGTATCCCTATACATACTGTACAAATAAAAACTTATGCAGCAGATTGATAGGTGCTGTAATAGTTAACAGGAGACTCTGGAAATTCAGAAATCACTAGCAGTATATTAAAAGTTACAGATGCAGATGCAAGTTTCAAAAAAGCCCCCAGTTTTTAATAAGCTGTGCCTGAAATACCAGCAGTGTAGTTTAGTATATTATTGGAGGAAAGATATGCAACATTTATTAAATACGTAAGAAGATCAGTGACAGTTTGTTTATTGAATCATAGAATTATTCCATGGCACCATGTATTGTTGCTTTTTTAAAATATATTACTTTAATTTCACCAAGAACAAATTAAGTCTTACATTCCCATTAATGTGGCATACTAAAAATAAAAAGATACTAATCTCTATATTAATTTTTTCCAAAATTTCCTGGTACAAGGACACCTTACAAGCAGTGTAGTACGCAGTTTGGTCGTTGCATAGTGACTTGACTGCAAAAACTGTGATATGCCTTGTTATTACTGCAGTACTTTTAAAATCCCAGTGTACTCTCTGATGGTTGTTGTCTCTTCTTGGTTAGCAAAAAGCCTCTCTGTCCTGGATTTGTATGGCAGCCTGAACTGAAATATGATCTTAGCTGTTACTTGGTGTGCTCTATTGCAGAGGCTGCTAGCACTCTGCCAGGAAACGAAGAAACAGAAAGCAGAGTTTTTTGTAACGGCCTCCTTCTACCTCACAAAGGAAGGTCGCTACGTCACTCCACTGTTACTCTTCTGGTAGTCTGCCACCAACCATTCCCTGCAACAAGTATCCTCAGGCCGGAATGGATTTCAAACAAAATAACTAAAGTTTATTGATTGGTACATTAAGATTGGTATAACAAATAAATCAGGTAATCACATAAAGAAAGGCTCTAGCTCACACAGACTCATATCTCCACACAATCTGATCACTACCTCATCTCAACACTCACAGATCCTGATCTCCCCTCACACACATACCCCCCCCTATATATCCCAGCTCCTCCCCCTGATGTCCCGCCTTCCGACCACCATTGGATGTTAACCCTCCAGCCTAAACCTTGAAGGACAGGTGACATCATAGCTGTTTGTAACATTGTTAACAGTAGCTTTCATATGATTGGTCTCCTGTGTGCCTAGTTAAAGCACAGAACAAACAGGAAGTGGTTTCCAGGAAGCAATGGTGTGGGGAGAGAAATAGGATGAAATTCATGGGTAACTGCAGTATATAAGGAATGGATGATAGGATCAAAACCAGACTAAGTTATTAAACACTATATACCAATCTTTTACGGTGTTAGAAATGTAAAATATTTTAGTAGAAGGGTATATTTCTGAAACTTTAAAAGTGCCATTTCAAATAGTATGATAAACTGGTTTATAATACTGAAAGCAAATCACAACATGTCTTTAATCATGTCACCTCCTCCTCTGACTTGACCACAGGGAAAAGATTGCAGGTTTTTACTTTAATTTTTTATTTATCTTGCATTATACAGTATTTGAATACTGCACTGTGGTTAATCTACAAACTATAGTTTGTAGAAACAAGCCAGCTTCATGTCTCTTGGTTTGAATGTGGCTGGTTTCTCACCATCTGTAGTTAAGATTACTGAAGGTCTCTTAGGTTTGGTTAAAATGACAGGTTCTGGCCATACTAGAGGAGGAAAAGAGAAATAGTATTTGGCCTGCGCGGCGTTCTGGCTTATTTCTGTAATGATTAAGTCATAGCTTATTGTGAGATACAAATCAGCTCCTAATAATCTGTCTCCTATTTAACAAGCTAGCATTAATATTTAGTAGCCGTTCTTGTTAACATTCTTGATAAATGAAACTTGACTGAGGTGTTTGACATTTTTTCTTGCATTTTGTGAAAATCTATGATATGTGTATGCTGCTTGCAGACCTGGTTCAAGAAGGCCAATAAGAAGGCAACAACTACCTTTAACTTATCCTAATTAAGACTGCTATCCTAAACACACCAGGGAGAAAGTTCATTAAATTCAATAGAAATTACTTCTTAGTAAATTTATTGTGATTATTCTGCATGTTTATTCAGGTATATTCTGCACTTAATGAGTTAATTATGAACGATGAGTTAACAGAAAATCTTTATGTTTGAAATTGCCTGAATTATTTTGTTTTGTCAAATCAGATTTGAAATGGCATGTGGATATTACTGACTTGTCAATTCAAATAGTGTTAAACAGATTGGGTAGCATAGTTTGAGAATGGTATCTGTAATTTGTTGGAATGTGTACAATGCTGTGTGACCATGATAGGCTTAAAAACAGGTGGGTTCAAATGGGAGAGCGTTCTTGTGAATGTGTGCCAACCCCAGAACCACTTACAACAAAAACAAAAAAACATGATTTGCATTATTGTCATTACCTCTAATTAGGCTGTAGCTTCTGTGGCATCCCTACTCAGTTAAGGTAGACTGCTATTCTTCATCATGGTCTTTCTGCGCCCATGCTAAATAGCCTTTGCTTCCTCTTAGTTTGCAGTACATGGTATTCGGAGCAGGTTTTTCACTAATTCATTAACATTTATAAAATGCTTTTATTTCTACCATATATTTCCAGTTCCTTAGATGCACTCATGGTATTTACAGTGGAAAGCAAAACATTTGGTGGGGGAGATGAAATCCTGAAGTTAAAAAAAGAAGCAAAATAGAAAACACATGTTTTCATTATTTATTCAGTTTGTTTTTAATTTGGTTGATATAAATATTTATTTTATTGGCCTAGGAAGAAATGGGCAGCTAAGATATCCACAGTTATATTGATGCTGGTTATTCCCTAGCCTCCCTCCACAGAAGGGGATTTGAGGCAGCCCGAGAAGATATCATTAAAAGATTGTATGATATAGATATCCTCACTACTATTTATTTATTTATTTATTTATTGGACTTATATACCGCCCCATAGCGCTACAAGCACTCTCCGGGCGGTTTACAATTTTTAATTATACATGCTACACATTGCCCCCCCAGCAAGCTGGGTACTCATTTTACCGACCTCGGAAGGATGGAAGGCTGAGTCAACCTTGAGCCGGCTACCTGGGATTTGAACCCCAGGTCGTGAGCACAGTTTTAGCTTGCAGTACAGCGTTTTAACCACTGCGCCACGAGGCACTACTATGGCATCTGTAGTTAGTTGCCATTCCAAGAGGATATACAAAGGCTTTTCCTTGCCTTTTGGAAAGATGCCCTCATATTTGTCTCTTATTAGCTCACAGGAGCTGAGACAACAGTTAACTAAATGCAGATCAAACTTGTTACGGGTGTTATACAGACCAACATAGTACAGGCAGACATTGCCCAGCAGGATGTTCTAAAATGGAGGACGTGGTACATTTTCTAACAGAATGCTCTCTGTATTCAGATTTGAGGGATCAATATCTTAAACCCTAACAACCAGTATCAAGAACAATTCCCCTTTATGTACAGTTGTACTTCTGCCAGTTGCAACAGACTACTAGTGAGCCATGGAAAGACGGAACTCATTGCTTGCTTCTCAAGCTCTTCAAGTTAATTTCACAACTTGATACTTATTTTAAAAGCTTATTTTATTGTTGTTATATTATTATTTTATGGTTTTATTATCGTTTACATGTACTTATATTAGTATTCTGATTGTTTACATGTACTTATATTACTGTTCTGGTATTCTGATTGTTTACATGTACTGTACTTATATTAGATGCCAAATATTTTGTAAGATTGGTTTAATCTCTGCTCATGCATACAGCTTGATTGGCTATGCAGCAATAAAATATTTATTTTAAACATGTTTAAAATTGATTTAATATTGAAAGATGGGGTTTGGGAACCATCAGATAAACCCAAAACTTTCTTGAGCAGTCCTGTTTTTGAACACAGAAGGTAAATTCCCCCTGCAAATTCTTCTAGAACTGTTAATTAGCTTTTTAAACAGAAGGCTATGGCTTCTTGTGGGTCCCATAACAGGCAGAAATTGGCAGACTACGCAGAAATTGGGGATACCTTTTTGTGTCTTCATCTTATCTACATCAGTATTTTTTTAAATGAAAGCTTACTGTTATTTTTTATCGGCGTCCAATTGTTCATAGTGTGTTGTGTGGCTGCAAATTGCAATTTTAAAGGAATGCAATTTTTAATTTTTTAGCCTCGTAATTTAAATTGCTTTAGGGATATGTTTGGAGTAGGAGGGCCAGTGTGGTCTACTGGATAGTGAGTTGGGCTAGAACTCAAAATCTCCACTGAGTTGTAGAAAATCACCAGGGTGGGCAAGGGGATGGCACAGATAAAACCTCCCCTTAGATATCTCCCATACTTCAGAAACTCTATTTTAAGGTTTCTGAAGTACGGGAGTCAGAATTGACTTGACAGAACATCATACTGTTAATTGTATTGCATATTGGACTTGTTAGTTAACATAGGTCCCATTGATTTCAGTTGGTCACCTCTGGTTGAGACTAAAATTGGACTTAATGGAGTAAATATCTCAAAAGAGTCTAGGCCCACAAAGACCATATATGGCTGTGGACCTAGAGCTAATTTAAAGTGATCCAAATGATTGTGTCAAGTGCCTGACTGAGATATCTCTGGTAAAAGGAATGAGGTGAATAGTAGGTGTATCCACATTCCATTGATCTGTAGTTTGCAATCTAAAATATACCTAGGAAGAAGTCCCACTGAATTCTGTAGATCTTATTTCTGAATGGACATGTATATCATCACATTGGTAGTAACATTGTCTGTATACAGTCTTCTAGCATTGTCCTTGTTTTTAGTTATTTGATCCCTAAGTAAGGATGGCCGTTCTCTGATTTACCAGTTTGAACATTTTCTGTGGACACATAGTATCACCACTATTGTACAATGTTTAAAATGAGTTTTAAGGTCTTAGATTTGCCACATGTCTTACGCCATACACATTAATAGTCTCCCCTGCTGTCTTCCGCTCCTTCTGTCTCCCAGTAAATCAAGGCAAACGACCCTGCTGTAACAAAGAGAGAAGCCATAGGCTTATATTTATGCCCAAGGTAAATATTCCTTATCACAGGCTATCTGCAGATTACAGTATTTTATTAAATCTGTCTGGATTTTGGACAAGAACTAGTTGCACTGGTATACGGACCTGCTTTGCATAGCAGGTCCACAAATTCTAGCTAGCCTTGCTAAGCAGTCATTTTCTGTTAGCCAACAGGGAACTCCAGTCCTTTTTCCAAAATAGAGACAGTTTGCATCAGACTGAGTCAAGATACGTATTAATAACTTGGGCTTTCTCTAGGTTGCTTAACCCATTAAAAAAATTAAACACATACAGGTATGACACATTTTGTAGCTACTGTTTTCCCTTTTATTATTAAGATTAATTCCCCTTCCTTTCTCTTCCCTTCTGATCTTATGCAGTCATTTTTAAAACGAGTAACAGTAACATTTTCTGGTACAGAAAAAAAAAATTCCCAGAAAGATCTTATTCCAAAAATCCTGAGAACATCACAAAAGAGAAAGGAGATGGAAGAATGATGAAAGTGTATGACAAACATGGTTTTAAATACTGGTGGAAAAAGCCCCCACCTCATATTCATAGACATGCTGTAATTCTAGGAAATATATCTGATAAGGTTTCACTCTAAGAAAAGAAGTAATATACTGTATTCTAACAGCAAAAATTTAGGTATACCGGTCCTTGTTCTAAATATTTTTTGTTATATGCATGCAGTAAAATTATAAAGCTGTGGCAGATGTGTAAAAAATGAATACTTGTCCAATTTTGCTGTGTTGTTGAGTATTCTGTCTGTAGAAGTATAATTTCAACTGCTGCAGGAGATGGAAGAGGAAGGGTTAATCGCTATACCACATGTAGGGAAGAGCAGCCCATTGAGGGTTAAATTGCAGAGTCTAATGGAATAATAACTGGTAGCACCATCTGCTGGCCTACTTCCGCAGAAGGAGTCAGTATTTTTAACGACATCTCTAATATTCATGCTGATGCATTTTGATGCTTTGTGCATTCATTTCTTTCTGTGTTTTGTTGGAATCTGGCTATCTGCTTACCGCTATTGTTGGGCTTCTGCTGTTCCAGGGAGTCCAGCAGTTTTTTCTGCAGTAGATAAATAAGAGGCTCATGCTTGTGGAGGAAGGAATATGTTGATAAATCACAGTGTATATTTGTGGAAGCTTGTGTGTCTCTCGGCTTTTGGCTTGCTAAACAGGCCATTTAGCAACCTTCTTTCAATGCTTTTCTCTTGAACACTGTCTCGGGTGGTGAAAAATCAGAGGGCAAGCCTTTGTCTAATGCCAAAAATGTCTTCAGTGAAGAGGCCAAGAGGAAGGGTAAGTGAAAGCTTGAATGAGTGGGAGGAGGAGGGGTTCTTTGGGCTAAAAGGCTAATGGGATTGAATAACCTTCCTTATTACTGGCTGCTGCTATGAGAGTCGTGCTGCATCGCCATCTTGAGCTTGTTGCTGTTTTCTCGAGTCTTCGTGACTTGTTGTAGCCTGCAGGCCTTGAGGTGGCATTTTACTTAGCTGTCGTAAGCCCTGCTTTCTTCTTGGTGGTGCAGCCTTGCTGTTAAGCTTTGATGAGACACGTATAGAAAAATGTATCTAGTGAAGCGAACTGGATTTGGCCTGAAAATGTGTTTGGAAATTCCTGGCTTTCCCCCATGCTGTAGTCAGAGGCACATTTATGGGTGAGAACAGAACAGAATTATTATCTGCTCCCCCTCCCCCCTTTTTTGTGTGTGCTTGGATAGGAAATTCTTTCCATTCCTTACTCTGTTTGTGTGCGTGTTTGTGTGTGTGTGTGTGTTTAACTGTCCTTCATGAGATCTCCGAGAGGCTGCTGTAGTTGCTTATGCTAAAATGAGGAATTTCTATCTGCGTATGTTTAGAAATAACAAAACAAAGGAACTGTTTAACTGTTTCCTGTGATCAAATGTACATGAAATTCTAAACATAGGATTGTTTTGTAACTCATTGAAATTATTTTGTCGTTATTCTTTAATGGTAAAATATCTTAATATATTCTGAAACCCTGTATTGCTTGTCTCTTGCGTTTGACTGTGGAATAATGCTTTATGCACAGATTATGTTATGACTTTAACTTTTCTGTTATATAAGTTGGTATATTTTCCCACTGTTCTTTCATCACTAAATTGGCCTGTATCTTTAGCTTTCAAGGCTCATCAAGCTGAGTATGTCTATCTTTTTTTTAATTGTACCTTTTAATTGTACACCATGGCTGTTGTTTAGCTTTGTGGTTTGCTCCCAATATTTAAAAAATAAATATTGTGCCATAAAGAAAATACTACATTGCTTTTTAATATATAAGGGATAAGTTCTTGAGAATAACTATATGTAGTTCTTTAATAAATTATCCTTATATTTTTGTGCATACTCATCAGGGGGAGTAGGCCTATGAATGTAAAATTGCAGCTAGAATAAAGTAGAACAGAAAAACAGGCATTGAAAAGGGAGAAGGGTAAAATGGAGCTTGTAGATAAATGCAGTTGGAACAGGCATAACATTATAATCGACCACACACACGGATTAGAAACTGGACCCTTCCCAGTCACAACTGCTAATCTATTGGGCTCTGTGTATCTACCCCTCCTTTTCACAAGGTTAGTAACATTCCCAACTATGAAAATCATGTAATGGAGGATCTTGAGAATCATGATAAAAGTTGTCCATATTTAAAAATTAGTTAAACTTTATAATACAATTTTAGCTACAATTTTTACTAAGAATTATTATAAAAATGAGTATAAAAATTACAATTGCAACCACTTTTAAGGCAATTTGTAATTAAAAGAAACCAGATGAACTGTTTATCTTCCCCTTTTTGTTGCACATAAAAGTTCTTGCGTAATTTGCCATGGTTTAGTTAAAAGCTACAATATCTTTTTTCTAAATGGTGGTTATCATGAATACATGAAAACTTTGGATGGCTTTTCCCATAAGCAATATAGTTTTAACAAACAGTACCGTATATACTGGCTTCCATATGATTTGTGGTTGACTTTAAATATATATATATATATATTTTGCATTTCCACATAATTATTTAGTTTTATCTGATTAAATAGTCCTCACACCAAGATCTACCTGGTGGGGATGATCAGGATGGGATGGCATTACTGGAGGAAAACTCTGATGAATGCTTGTCTGTGTTAATTACTCTAATACACACTTGGAAAGCTCTGCAGATACAGCTCTGTGCCAGTGGTGTCTTCTAGCAGGAGACACCATCCAAAGGATAGGCAGAAGAGGCCTTGGATTTGACAAATCAAAGGCCCCTTCATTTCCCTCAAGAGTCTCATATTTAGATCTCTGAGTTACCTTAGCTTGCAGATAACACCCCTCGGTTTCTTCCTTTTGAAACCAGCAGGAGGGAAATCTTTAAAAAGAAAAAGAAAAAGAAAGAAAGAAAGAAAGAGAGAAAGAATAATAACTGGGTGGAGGAAAAGAGCACTTGTCTGATGCAAGCCTTAAGTGCTGTGGTCATGGCAGATGATCCCCTGGTCATCTGCAAAAGATAGATGATCACTTCATTCCGTCTTTACGCCATCTATCTCTCTGTTCAGCTGCATTTATAAACACATTTGAAAGGATGTAGGCCCCACAGAGTCCAGTGAGATATGCTTTGGAGTGAACATGCATAGGATTGTGCTTCATAGCTAAAATTGTGTATATGCATATTTGGAACTAAATCCACAGTGAATGCACCAGGATTCTTGTAAACATGCACAGCCATGCAATGCACATTTTCAGCATGATGCAATAAATCTATCTTAAATAGATAACCTGTCTTCATTTTCTTGTAGCCTCCTTCCACAAAGAAAGCAGATGGTTCTGGGACATATGCTAAGCTGCAGAATACCCAGGTGAAATTTGTGTCTGAGAAGAAGCAGAAAAAAAAAGTGGAATCTGAAAGTAAGCAGGAGAAAGCTAACCGCATAATATCTGAGGCCATAGCAAAAGCAAAAGAAAGAGGTGAGCGAAACATTCCGCGAGTAATGAGTCCGGAAAACTTCCCCAGTGTTTCATCAGAAGGAAGAGAAGAAAAAAAAGGCAGAAAAATTAAATCCAAACCAAAAGATAAAGAAAGCAAAAAGCCCAAGACTGGCTCATCTTCAAAAACTAAAGAGAGAGCAAAGATTGGGTAAGTAGGCTAACAGAGTCTTTTATGAATCTTAATTCTCTGTTCTAACAGTTACACATGATTTGGTGCAAGTAATCCCAACTGATTTACATATGAGAATACAGATTTGTGAGAACCTAGCCCTAGGGCATTTGCAATAGTTGAAACATGATGGTGAGGAATTTATTCAGAAGGGTCCGGGAAGCAATTAGGCACATTCTGAGAACATCTTGTTACCTACACTACAAGTGTGGGCAACACAGGGCATGTAGGCCGCATATACTGTGTTTCCCCGAAAATAAGACAGGGTCTTATATTAATTTTTACTTTAAAAAAACACATTAGGGCTTATTTTCAGGGTATGTTTTATTTTTTTCATGTACAATATTCAAGGACAGTCATGTCATCTTCTGGTTGCTGCACAATGGTGGAGGGTGGGATTTCACTTAACTAGGGCTTATTTCGGGGGTAGGGCTGATATTACAAGCATCCTGAACAATCATTCTAGGGCTTCTTTTCAGGTTAGGTCTTATTTTTGGGGAAACAGGGTAGTCTGCTCCCCCTTTTTGTGGCCCTGAACCTACTTCCCTCTATGTAGAACTGTTTTGAAGCTAGGGGAAAAAAATGAGGGTCAGAAGTCTTGTCCAGTGATGGAAAGCACAGGACCTTGCCTTAGTGAGTGAGTTGAGGTTTTTTTCCTTATTCTTTTTCAAAACCTGAAGTGGACCTCTTGTTGTTGCAACCTTTGAAAAAAAAGAGAAAAAGAGTCGCATTTTAATCATGAAGTGACTTCTTCCTCAAAACTTTTCTGTATGGCACAACAGACTCCTGTTCCGTCAGTGCTTGTCTTCAAAACGGGAATGAAAACTTGGATCAAGTGATTATGATATCATTAGTGGCTTTCATCCTCTTATCAGATTTTTTTTTTAAGTTTCAGCTTTTGTGGTTCTCCTACAAAGACGGGGGGTGTGTGTCAGATTTCAGGTCAGAAATGCCTTGTATGGTTTCAGCTTTTGTGGTTCTCCTACAAAGACAGGGGGGGTCAGATTTCAGGTCAGAAATGCCTTGTATGGACTCAAAATGCCTTCACTTTAGTTTTAGACCTACCTGTTTTCATAAATAAATTGAAACTTCCTGGGTGAGGTTTGTAATCAAATAGATTTCCAGCATGCAATTTTGTTAACTTTCTCCTTTGTTTTTTAAAAAGAAAATGTATATTGTTATAACGGTGTAAATGGAATGTATTCTCACAGAATGTGTTCTACGTAGGCCGGTTATAGGCACAAGTAAATGTATATACTTACTCATCCTTACTGTTGTACTTATGATAAATATATTCAAGTGTGCTTCAAGCTGGTATGTTTAAATAAAGCCTTGTTAAGATTAACTCTAATTTTATAACTCACACTATCCAGCTATTATGCTGAAGGAGGAAAGAGGAGAGGGGGTATGTGAGTCCATGGTTCACCTAGCATGGTGTTAAGTGTACCAAAAATGTGTTTCTGTCTCCCTGGAGAGTCATTCTTCATGCAAGGAATAGACACTTAAGCTAAGAATATCATGTGGATTGTTGAGGAAGCTACTTGATTGCCAAACTGAAGTGATTTAACTAATATGGAATACCAAACTTGTGATACAGGAACCAAATGAAGTCTCACCCCTAGTTAGGGTAATCCAAGTGAGCGGTGTTGAGGTAAAGCTAAGGGCAGGAAGCCAAAGGAAATTCAATTCAAAGGAAATAGACCAGAGCCAAAATACAAAACTTCAGCTGTAATCTTGTTGCGTAGTAAAGTCGTTCCCAACCTTGGATAACCCAGGTGTTCCTGGACTGCAATTCCTAGAAACCCTGGGCAGCCCAGCTAGTGGTGAAGGCTTTCGAGAGTTGCAGCCCAAGAACATTTGGGTTACTCAAGGTTGGGAACCACTGGCTCAGCATAGGAAGTCACACTAGAATAGGCACATTGAATCAATGAGGATTTGGTGTGTTCCATTGATTCAAATGCATCTACTCTGCTTGTGACTTACTTTAGCAAAGTAAGTTGCAACTAGAGTTATCTCACTTGACTCAGTGGAACTTATGGGAGGCGTTGACTAATCAAATTCCCACTGAATTAGTGGCCCTGCTCTTGTGTAACTTACTGTGCTGAGCAACAGGATTTTAGCCATCCAGAAAGAAACATAAAGAATATGTTTTTAGAAGTAGCATACAGTGGGTGTTTCTCAGAACCTGTGTAAAGTGGGATTTTTGTAGGGACAGAAGAGAACTGACCAACTAAAAACAGGAAGGCAAAGCAAGGTGTGGGCTGCTTGAATAGTATGTGCTCTTTGGAGAAGTAAGCAAATTTATTTGTCCCAAGGTGAATCCAGGTTCAAAGTCTTTGTTGTGAGAGATCTTGACAGAGGACAAAACAGATCTAATAGGTTCTGAGAAGAAAATATTGGCATTAGCAAGATCTCTGCATAATCTCTTATCTATAAATACAAAAAATCTTGATGCTGCAGGGAAGTGGTATGTGTGCTGTAACAAAGGGACACTCAAAAGCAAGTTTTCTAAATGTAAACTAATGGGTTTTGAACCAAACCAAACCTGAGTGTAGGCAGAGAATTCAGTGGCTGAGACATGCTTAACTGTTCATAGAACTGAGTTGTAAGGACGCTTGGCCCAATAAGGGAATACTATTTTATGGCATTAAAAGTAGTTCACTTGCTCTCAAGAAAAAAACTCTGACAATAAACAGTGGAAAACAGATCACTTTAAAATGGGAAGTTGAGTGTAAGTGACACAACTGAAATCTTAATAATAATAATAACTGTAGATCTGGAAGGGATCTTACGGATCATCAAGTCCAGCTCTTGTCAAGGAGACACAGTGGGGAATTGAACTCCCAACCTCTGGCAGCCAGGTATCTAACCCGCTGATCTACCCAGCAGTTCACACTTTTACCCCCATATAATATACCTCATTTAAAAATAAATAGCCTCTTCTTGCATCAGTAAATTTATGGTAACACCGTGAATAACCCAAGAAATTGTTTTTCCTATGGTGTGAGTGAAATGAATAGCAATGCATGGAGATTATATCGTGTTTCCACAAAAATAAGACAGGTTCTTGTATTAATTTTTGCTCTCAAAATGCATTAAGGCTTATTTCAGGGGATGTTTTATTTTTTTCATGTACAACAATCTACATTTAGTCAAATACAGTCATGTCATCTTATTCTGGTTGCTGCACAATGGTGAGGGTAGGATTTCACTTAACTGGGGCTTATTTTTGGCATAGGACTTACATTATGAGCATGCAGAAAAATCATACTAGGGCTTATTTTCAGGTTAGGTGTTATTTTCAGGGAAACAGGGTAGTACAAGTAGTCTGTCATGCACAACAGTTGTACTTTGTATGGACACATAACATGGAGAATGTTTGTGGGAAGCTTATATGGGTTTGGACTATATGGCCTTCATGTGCGTTCAGAATTATGAGTCATAGAGTTGACAAGATGAATCATGTGCAATGTGGAGGCTTGCCAGATTGGTCTTGCTGCAGCAGCAGTCGTGTTATGAACAAAATTTCTTTCTTTCTTTTTTCTTTCTCTCTCTCTCTTTCTCTCTTCTTATTGGTAGATGAAAAGAAGAGGATGTGTAGATGATATGGGGAGGGTACTTTTGAGTGGCTTTTTGCCTCCTGGTTACCTTTTAGCTTTGTTAGCTAATCCATTTTGTGGTATGCTTATTAAAATACCTCTCACTGTAATAGCTTCTAAATTCTGATTTTTACAGTTGAATTATGTGCATATTTTGGAATGAGTATAGTATTGGGTTATAAGTGTGGGCTTGTATATGCTTTGACTTGTATATATGTGTTGTACAATTTATCCCCTTATATTGTATGCATGGGTATAATTTCGAAAGTCAGTTACCAGCAAGTAACAATGGGCAACATTTGGCTTGAGTCCAGTCAGGAGCGCGGAGTAGAAATATAAAATGGCTTTGTACATCATGCCCAGATTTCATTATTTGTTTCATAGGGTTCCATAATCTGAATTTAATTTATTTGCACAACATTGGTAACATATTGTATATATGTTACATTGGAAGCCGCCCAGAGTGGTCATATAGACCAGATGGGCGGGATATAAATCAAATAAATAAATAAATAAATAAATTTTAAAAAACAACAGTATCCCTTACATTTCTGTGGTGAGATTTTCAAATTATCTTCCTCCTACAAGGGCAAATACCTTCAGTGTCATGCTAAGCCTGTCTCTTCATCTTGAAGGCACAGCAATATAGTGCAGGATTCGTCAACCCACTGTGACATTTGTCTGCTTATGTGTAGAACTAACCCTTGCATGTCTAATTCTTTGATATTTGAAATAAAGGAACCCAACATGCAATGTGGCTAAATAAAGAGGGGGAAAAGATAAGGCCCCTGGGCTTGATTAGGTATTTGCAGAAGTATTAACAGTAATAGATTATGATGACTTAGATGCTTTTGTGAATATTATTAATTAGATATACAGAACAGGAATCATTCCTGAAGTTTGCCTAAAATTAAACTGTATTAAATGACTCGAAAACAAAAATGCAGATGTTTGTCACATCCACAGAACGATAATCTTAATAAATCATTTGCTTAAGAGGTTCTTGTAAATTCTGCCATGTATTATTTTTAACAAGTATAAAGAATGTGTTGGAGACATATAATTGAGATTCACAGGAGGTTTGGAATTAGGGACAAACTATTTGTCATTGAAGCTACCAACATGAATTTGACCCGACTCCAAGAGGCAGTGGAAGACAGGAGGGCCTGGCGTGCTCTGGTACGTGGGGTCACAAAGACTTGGACACTTAATGACTAAACAACAACAATTTGCCTACATATACAGTACTTGTAGGGTGATGTGCCATGAAGAGAGGTACGACTGCTTGTTTTATAGGTTAGCATAAAAGCTTTTGGCCAAGTCCAAAAGGGCAAGGTAACTGAGTTTTTGATAAACAAAGGTTTTAGTACAAGACAAACTGATATAACTTGCAACCTGTTCTGGCAACAAGAAGCTACTGTCAGAGTCAAATATAGGATGACAGAGGACATAAAGGTACAAAGAGAAATATGACAAAGATGGTTGATCTCACCACTTCGAGTTGAGTCATGGCAACTGGACTTCTTTCTTATTAGGTTGAAATGTTTCACTACTCATCCAGATAGCTTCTTCAGTCTGAGGAGAGTTGGTAAGAGATCTCTGATCCTTTACGTTGGTTTTACTTCCTCCTACTCTGAATGGAATGTCCAAGAATGTATTTAGATAAGCACTTGTGAGTTCAAGAGACAGTATCATTGTGGTCTGAGAGGTTATCAACAGCTTTAGATGTGTGACAATATAATACCACTAGCTGGCAATTTAGATGGTCTAGTAGACAAACAAACAGCCCAAGAACTGTATTTAAATGTGGAACATGTTGATGAATACATGTTTCTTGGAATTTGTTTAAATGAGAGTGGAATCATAGTGGTATAAGAAAAGTACAAAACAGAGGAATCTTGTTACAGCTTCTTTAAGCTAAAGGAGGATGTGATAGGTAACAAAAACTTTAAATTGGCTTTGAGAATGCACATTGTTCAGTGCTATGCATCTCCCTTCCTCACTATGGCCCAGAAAAGGGATAGGAAAAAAAATATTAGACACATTTGAATTACATGTGGCTTTATCACAGAATGCCAAGAATGTATTGGACCAAGAGGATGATCAAGGTAGAAGTACTAAATCAAATGGCTAAAGCCCAAAAAATAATAAAATCCACAGTGTGTGGAAGGCTAAAATGCTCCAGTCACGGAATGACATGAAAAGTACAGATTCTTAACAGGAAAATAAGTTGAAGAAAGAGAAGAAACATAGGAGTTGGAATAAGATGCAGCACAATATCATCATCATCATCATTTAGATATGTCAGTTCAGTGAAGGAAGCTTCAGCGTTTGAATAAAATGAATTTCAACAGATATAGATGTAAACTTCTGAATTTAGGCAGAAAAAAAATCAAAGTTAGTTGACAGCTGGCTTGAGAGTGATATGTGTGTAAATGATTCCATGAGCCTTGGTAGAAAGCAGGGTAAACATGAGTCAGCATCATGATACAGCAGCAGCATTAAAAGAAAATTCTAGGCTGCATCAACAGAAATCTAATGTTCCAGAGCAAGAGAAGTAATAGCACATCTGCTTTGCTTGGACCTCATCTGGAGTATCATGTTCACTTCATGTTCAGTTTAATAAAAATATCAGTAAACTGGAATGTGTGCAGAGGAGGGCAGCAGTGATGGCAGAGGGTCTCAAAATTAAATCACAATGTCAAGGAAGTGGTGTGTTTTAGCCGGGAGAAGAGAAGATTAAAAACTATGATAGCCATCTTGAAGATCTGTCATGTAGAAGATGGAACAACCTTGAAGGGGGACCAAACCAGTAGAAGGTGGAACAAACTTGTGAAAGAGCACCAATGGATTTCTTCAAATGATAAGACACAAGACTTCAACTAAACAACATGAAGATTGTCTCAGTGGTGAGACCAGTAAAATGAATTGTCTCGGAGGATAGTGGACTTCCTTCATTCGATATTTTTAGAGGTTAGCTGGACACGGGGATGCTTTAGGTGTGAATTTCCTTCACAGGAAGGCAGTTGGACTAGATGATGTTTGCACTCTCTTCCAGCTCTTCAACTCTGTGACTCTCTGATCAAAATTTTTTACAAGCCTAATTCATTTTAAATTGTCACCCTGTGTTCTGCCAGTTTGAACTGCTCTACCCACGTCTAGATAATACATATAATGCAATTTGTTTTTCATGTCTATTCAGTGTGACAGCCCTTACGATGAGAAGTTGAAATAAGTGATATGGGAACTGTGCAGACACTTTTAGATTCAGTTTCGTATTCATACATTCCAAAATGGCAAGTTTGGAATGAGAATATAGGAGGTCTTCACTAGAGACTTTATATACACATTTCATCCGTTATATCTAATTTATGAAAGCATAGAATAGGGCAGGAAAACTTATTCTCTGACGTGGGCCATGTTAAAATGTAGCTGCTTCTCCTGTTCAGTAGTCTGATGAATACAAGTTGGAGAGCAATAACAAAAGTACCTGTTCATTGAGAGTACAAGTTAGTACAAGATATAAGCAAACAGACATTGAGGAGACATTACTGTCAGCATTGTACTCCACAGTTATTTTGTGTGTTGTGATTTCTGCCAAAAAAGAAGTATGCCTGTCTTAGAAGGTGTTTATCCTGATTCTTCAAATAATTTTAATGTTAATATGGAGCATCCCAATTCCATATAGAATGTCAGTGCCGATGCTGTTTTCCAGCCTCTGGTATGAAGACTGTGTGTGTTCCCCATGAAGTGCAAATTCTAGTTTCATCTGAGGAGTTGAGGTGTGCAGTACTATCCTGAAATACCCAGGTTAAACCATTTTGTAATGAAATGGTGTCCACTTGTTAAATTGCAGAGCAATCTATTTTTTCTACATATTCCAAGTACAACGAAGCTTTAACATTGTCAGTGGTTGAATTTTATAAGAACTGCAGCTTGCTGCTTAATTGTAATATTATCCATAATCTGACTACAGTTCAGTGGGTGCATCATGTAAGTAAGCCAGTTTTATCTAGACATTTCTGTTACATCATTTACATATGATTCATTGAAAATTTGTTTGGTCAGCCCTCTATCGCTACTATTAATTATCTTCCAGTGACTGGTCATGTTTATTTTTCAACATGTAGTAATTTCAGCAAATGAATAAGACCAAGGCTTGGTGGGGGTGGGGGAGACAGGATTTGTGAAGCGAGAGAAATCCCGTTCTAGAGCAATTCTCTCACTGTTACATAGTATATAATTATCAAATCTATATTATGTAAAGCATGCATCTAAGGACATCTCTATCAGAATTTGGGTTTGATTGTAATCACTTCATGATTATTTTGAGAATGCCTTGAAAAGCAGTACTTGTCAGATTTTAGATATGGAAAATTATATGTATTTGCAGCCCTCTGATTAAAACCAGATGGAATGATACTAATATTGCTCCTTTTGCTATAACCCTTTGAGTATAAACTCAGAAATAATTAGCACTGTTGCATTAGAAATATAATCTACCCTGCAATTCTGTAGTCATTCTCAGTTGCTGCTGCTGAAATGTTTATTGTACTTCTTCGTGTTTCAAAATTCCTGTCAACCTGAACATTTTATACTGTGGACCATGTGTTAAAAAAATAATCATGCTACGTATCAATAAATTCTTCTTACCATTTCAAATAATTAGAAGTTCCAGGCAGATTTTCACCTACTTTATATTTTGTTCACTTAAGCAAACAATTTCCCAGACTGGAAAAGTGAATTTTTAAACTTTGGTTAAAAAGTCACAGCAGGATTAGGATGAAATGGCTAAAATCCTATTAGTTAGTTCTGCTGGCATTAGTTAGTCCAGTGGCATAAATTGCAGCTGCAAATTGCTGTTGCTTAGGGGATTGCTTCTTGTATCCCTCATCACACAGAAACTCGTGTGTCTGGTATGTGACAAGGAATACAAGTGCCACTTTATTAACTAATGGCGAGTTGCTTCTGCAGTTTACACCATTGCCCTTGTACCAGCATACTTACCCAGTAGGATTCTGGCCCCTATTTAAATACTATAGTGCTCTCCTTAAATACAAAAGGACTCACCATTTGTGCACTGACTTAATGCTGTCTTTTGTTTTATTTATTTAATTTTTGTTTCGACACAGCAAGCTTATTATTACTCTGGGCAAAAAGCAGAAGAGGAAAAATGAATCTTCAGATGAAATGTCTGACACTAAGCAGACTACCCAGCAACCATTCAAAAATGAGACCTCTCAGGTATACAGAATTACCATTTTAAGAAACATGTTATGTGTGTTAACAGCTTGCTCCCATCCATATCCGCCACCCACAGAAATATTTTGCAGATGTTGATCCAAACGTTATTTCAGGTATTGTATGACTTTCTGTTTTAGAAAAGAAGATCAAATCGACAAATTAAACGGAAGAAATATGCAGAAGAAGGCGAAGGGAAACAATCTGAAGAAGAAGCCAAAGTTTCAGTGAAAATAAAAAAGAACCCTGCCCCTTTGCCTGCTGAGCAGCCTTTACAGTTATTTGTAGTGAGTAAAGTTCTTTTTGTTGAGTTTATATCTTGCAATTCTCTGTCTTTAACTTCAAAGTTAATGTTTACAAGGTGCTTTCTCAAGTTACACAGAGGCAGTACAAGACAATGCAGTTATCATTTGCCATTAAATTCTGTGCAGTTTACTGTTGTGACTTTGCCCGAGGCAACATCTCCCATGCTGCCATAAGTGGACGACATTGCCTGAGGCAGTGTCTTCCATGCTGCGCTACCCGGTTAGTGTGTGACTTGGATGACTAAGCTCCTTCAAACCATGTCATCTGAGACAGTTCAGATCAGAGAGTCAGGAATGTAGAATCGTAAGAGTGCAGTCCATCAAACAGGTATTCCTCATGATCTGACCTCATAAGCAGTCCCTATGAAGGAACAGTGCTGGGTGCATTATATGAGCATTATATGCTCCTGTATACATGTACACAGCTCCTCCACCCATATGAGTATTTGGTGGAGTGGTACACCAGGAACCGTAGATGGGCTGGGTTGTCCACTTCAGAGAATCTGTAAATTTACACTAGATCTTGGACAAAAGGCCAAGAAGAGCGTCTGCACGGATTTTGTTGTCATGCAGAGTTCTAGTAATTTTTTTTGGCTGAGTTAACTGTTAATAGTAAGAATGCAATGATTTTATGTTGAAAGAATGTCCCCTCAAGTACCAGTGGCCTCCCCAAAGCATCCCCACACCGGCTTTTAAATTTTTTTTTTTAATCCAAAAAAGGCCCCTCATGTTCTCTAGCTGACTAGGGTATCATTTGTGTTACATACACTTCCTATCCTATGTTAAGCCCAGGTTGATCTCCCCCCCCTCCCCAAGAATGGAAATATTTCAATCTCTTCAGTTCTGAAAAATAGGATGACGCAGGCTTTGAAGGAGAAGAACATAGCAGAAATTTTGCTGACACAACCTACAGGGCACAGGAGCCTTTTAGGTAAAAAGTACAAATTCAAGGCAGGGCAGGCTTGCCTATTCAAGGTGCAGGGGGGAGGGAGAACGTGTAGTGCCTTGAACTCTGTAAGTTCCCTATATCCTGATGCGGATAAAGACTTCTCTGTTCCAAAATGACAAAAATTAATGGCTACAACTGTAAATTTGGATGATAATATCAGGGACTAAATGTGCTGGTTTGTATTTCTTTTATATCTCACTCCTTACTCATGTATCAGAATTTTATCATCTGTCAACATCTGAGTTCAGGATAGATTTATATATCTTTTCTTTTTTCTACTATCTAGGAAAACCCAAGTGAAGAAGATGCAGCAATTGTAGATAAAATCCTGTCATCCAGGATTATTAAGAAGGAAGTGAGTAAATATAAGGTTGTGGGTTTTGTTTGCAATTACTAAAAAGTATAAACGAATAAATCTTTTAACAGAATTTTGTGTATCTTTTCAGATTCCTGGGGGAGTGACAATGGAAGTAGAGGAATTTTTTGTTAAATACAAAAACTAGTAAGTACAGTGATTAAGTTGATGGTTTAATGGAACTGCATTTTTTTCTTGTTTGATGCTTTGACTTGACCATAGTCCCAAGAGTATTTGAAAGATGTTTGCACATAATGGATGGGTTTTTCTTTTCTAACCTTTTTGCAATAGCAGTATGTCTTTATTACTAGGTTTTCAAAACAGGTAGGTAGAATTTGATAGTTATAATTCCGGACATCCTCTGAACGTTTAGAGTTTTCTTTAGTGGAAGTGATTAGCAGGTAGAACTAAGTATTGCAAACCTGCTTATGACTTCTGGCCTGTATCTGTAACTTTGCTTATGCGTACTGTATTTTAAAAGATTCAGTTTTAAAATAAGATTCCTTTATTCATCAGTTTGCTTAGGCAGATTTGTATTTTGGCTTCATTCCAACATTCAGGGTGACTAAACACCCCCCAAATAAAATTGCTGGAATATAATGCATGAGAAATTGACCTGCAGGGTTCATCTGATGTTGCTAGGGCTACGTGATGAAATGAATACAGCAATCCATGCTTGCCCCAGTGTGCTAACATACTCTTCCGTAATTCCAGCTCATACCTTCATTGTGAATGGGCCACGGAACAACAGCTTCTAAAGGATAAAAGGATCCAGCAGAAAATCAAACGCTTCAAGCTGAGGCAAGCACAGAGAGCCCATTTTTTTGCAGATGTGAGTATGTGTAAAAAGCAAAGCAAAATCCAACTGTGCTAATTAAAATCTTGACTACCACAGTCCCACACACTTTTTTCTGTTCAGTTTGCTGCCACATTTTGAGTCTTTCTCTTTGTGTGTGTGTGTGTGCCTGTGTGTCATTGAATGAAAAGGAATTTTTGGATTTAAAATAATGGAATACTAATAGAGTGGTGCCTCGACTTACGACCATAATCCGTTCCAGAAGAGGGACGTAACTCAAAATGGTCGTAAGTCGAAGCACCATTTCCCATAGGAAATTAGAACGTGATTAATCCGTTCCAGCACCCCCCCAAAATTACCCCCCCAAACCCTGCAAAAACAAACAAAAAAACCCCAATAAAACCACCCAGCTTGGCACTAGGGCTGAATTTTTTTTTAACCAAAAATAAACAACAGAGCAAGCCCCATCAGAAGGCGCAGGGGCTGAAAAAAACAAAACCAAAAATAAACCACAGAGCAAGCCCCATCAGAAGGCGCTGGGGCTGAAAAAAGAAACACACCAAAACACACAAACAATCACAGCAGAGAAACATAACCCCCCCGCCCAAATCCACCTTGCAAAACCCTGTAAATGTACTTACTCAGAAGCAGAAAGCAGCACCAGGCAGTCCGAAGCCTCCTCCGATCGCACTCTAACCGTTGGGGCGAAAGAGCTACAAAGAAGCAGCCTCTTCGCCGACTAACGGTTAGCAATTTGAATTCCCCGCCTTTTTCCCCTGCCTTTTTTTGGTTGTAACTTGTAGCTCTGTTTGCAAGTCAAAGCAAAATTTTGCGGCCTGAGTTGGTCGTAACTCGAAACAGTCGTAAGCTGGGACATTCGTAAGTTGAGGCATCACTGTATTGTGTTCCGGCACATAGCAACAATATTGTTCTTAGGAATTTTATCAAATGACTGAGTGATTATTGTTCTTTTTAGTTTGATATTACAAGTAAATCTTGAAGAATTATTGATCTGCAGCGATGCAGATTTATATTGTTCTAAAGCTGAACCTTGCCCCAAAGTTAGTTATAGCAGTTAAGTATTAATAAAGGTATTATCAAAATATCCTCAATTTCAGATGGAAGAAGAGCCTTTTAATCCTGATTATATTGAAGTCGATCGGGTGTTAGAAGTATCCTTTTGTGAAGATAAGGACACTGGTGAGGTACGGATCTGATTGAAAATAATCATATATAAGCTAAAACACCCTTTCAGAATTCTTGTGTGTCAGTCTTCCAATCATAACTTTCCCTGAACCTTAAGAACAAATGTAACAAGGTAAACAAAATGTGTGGTACATGTTCAAATATAGGGAGCTGATTGAAGACATAAAACCAGAAGTAACAGAAGCAAGAAAAGGGGAAGAGTCAGCTCTAGATGAATCTGGAGAAGGAAACGGAGGGAAATTCATTTTAGGAATATGAAGTTGAGGGCAGTGCCATAAGAAATTACTATAAACCAGGCAAAAATAATTAGGGGGTCCTCTTTATATGTTTAATTTGAATCTGGGGCCCAAGGAAAACCAATTAATCTTGTGTGTTCTGTGTTGTTGGCAATATTCTCTTTAAGCTGTGTGTGCACGCTTGCCCAGAGCTCCATTTGTGTGCACTGGCAGCCGGTTTACTTCCCATTTTGAATGAAGCCCCGCCCACTCTCTCACACGTGGAGCAAGGCTGCTGCACAGTGGGACAGAAAATTAAGAGTGAACTGTTACCTGCTTACGGATATACTGTATCTAAATATTCAAGATGGCTAGTTTCTTTTCTTTCCCTTTAGTGCTATAAAATTGTAGCTTTCCACAAATACTTCTTAACTTCAGTCACTCTTTATTATTCATTTTTTAATTTTATTTTGCTGCGCTCTTCATTCTGTCCCAGTTCTAATTGGTCATTAATTCTTTTCTTAATATTTATTTATTTATTTATTTATTTATTTATTTATTTATTTATTTATTTATTTATTTATTTATTGTACCTTACTTAATTTTGTTATAAAAAGTGAGGAAGATTTTAAAATTAAAGGTAGTAGAGCACTGGTGCTAGATAATCACAGTATTAGAAATGGAGGAGCTCTTTACTCTAAACTTCTATCTGCCTAGTTTATGGTTTAGTGTAACAGTATGATTTGTTAGCTATTTTACTTGTGAAATTCTATCTTATAAGTTATTTTTTCCCCACTGCAGCCTGTCACTTACTACTTAGTAAAATGGTGCTCATTGCCATATGAAGACAGCACATGGGAATTAAAGGAAGATGTAGATCAAGGAAAAATAGAAGAGTTTGAACAGCTGCAAGCTTTAAGGCCTGATTCGAGGCGACTGGTAAGGATAAATATAGATAAGTAATCACACTTCTAAAAGAAATTGCGAGGAGGAGTGACCAGCCCCCTCCTATTGCATATCTTAATTCAGCTGAAACTCAGAGTGGTAATCCATCTTCACCCCTTCTGTGCAAGATAGAGAGCTGTGTTCCTGGTCTGTGAAGGTGAGTATGTAGTATAATCATTGTCTGAGTGGGACCTGAAATTAATCAGTGAGGAAAAAAATATAACTAATCATTTGTTTATTTTTAAATGTTTTTGCCCTGAAGAGGTTGTATTTCATAAATAACTGTATGATGACCCAAGTATACATCTGTGTGTAATGTGTAAGTCTCAGCTGAGTAAACCCATTGAATGAATGGGATTCGTTCAGTCAACACAACACACAGATTCAGTAGACCTCCTCAAGCTGAGACTAAGAACTGAATTTGACCCATAGAGTGTGAACTGTGAGCCCGTAGGCATTCTAGGAAAGAGCCAAGGAAGTGAAGAGCCACAGCAGAAAAATTTTGTGTTGTTATAACATAATCCTTTAAATGTTTTATCTAGCTTTAATTCTGAAGTTTCATTTAAAGTAGATATATATATATGATTAATTTGTGGAGAGCCTGTTTATTTTTAACAACAAATAACTCTGTGTGCCCATCCAACACTTCAACTTTCTGCACTTCTATTCTTCAAATGGAAAAGGGTGTAAGGAGAGCTCAATTTATATATAAATATATATATATTTCTTATTTCCAAGGACCGGCCTCCTCCTAATTCATGGAAGAAAATAGAATTGTCCAGGGAATATAAAAATGGCAACCAACTCAGGGAATACCAGTTGGAAGGGCTCAACTGGCTCCTTTTCAACTGGTATAACAGGTGCGTACTTTGCCTTGGGAGGAGGGGTCGGAACAGTGGCTTCAAGCTATGTTGAATATGAATTGAGAATTGAACTAGGTGGCCTTTGGTGGTTGTAGGTTTTTCAGGCTGCTTGGCCGTGTTCTGGAGGTTTTTCTTCCTAACGTTTTGCCAGTCTCTGTGGTCAGCATCTTCAGAGGACAGGAGTCAGAACTCTGTCTGTGCTCTGGAGGCCTTTGGTGTGTTTATGTGTGGCTCGCCTTATTATCTTGGCCACTTAAAACAGTTTTGATGGCACTGTTCTAAAGGAGATGATTGAAATGGAAAAAAACCATGGAATATGTTGCATAGAACTGTGTGTTACTAAACTGTCTTGTTTTAGTCCTTTCTGTGTGGGAGCATTTCTGTGCCTCAGGAAAATAGACAAATTGGGGGGAAACCTTGTAACTTAATTTCGCTCTTTACTTGGAAGACAGAATTCTCTAATATTTCTTAGGATTAATGATTCAAAGTTGTCCTCAGTGTATGTCTGTTTGTTGCCCTAGTAATAAATCCTTTTGTGCTTTCAGACAAAACTGCATTTTAGCCGATGAAATGGGCCTTGGCAAAACCATCCAGTCAATAACATTCCTCTTTGAAATTCTCCTGACTGGTATAAGAGGACCTTTCTTGATCATTGCTCCACTTTCCACCATAGCCAACTGGGAAAGAGAGTTCCGCACGTGGACTGATCTTAATGTGGTGGTGTATCATGGGAGCATGATCAGTAGGCAGATGATACAGCAGTATGAGATGTATTTCAGGGATTCACAGGTAACATTCCTTACTGGAGTCTATGTAGCAAATCAATAAGGCCATTGATTCATTTTATGATTTCCTTCTCTGAACATTCTATTTGACAGTCCATTTTGATTCTCATTTTGAAGCACTGGGAATCACCAGTGATGTGTGAACTGCTTCTGCATGTTACATCACAGTGTACGAGATGAAAATTAGGCAAGCAGAGACTAGCTGTCATGCTGATGGCGCTGGATGAAGACCGTTAAGATTTTGCTTCTCTGTTTTTCATTGCTTTGCTTCCTCTCACTTCTGTGTTATGTGTAAGCTACTTGTAGTAGTCTATCTGAGCAATAGCAAATGCTTTTACTATGTCTTTTACCAGACACATGCCCTTCCCACAAATACTAACAAGCCCTGTAATTGTCTTGGCTTAATCTTCACCTGCAGGGGCAGTCAAGAACTGAAGGTTCTGGGCTAAATGGTGTAACTTTTTTTTTTTGTTGCTCTTTTTAGGGTCGCATCATTAGAGGGACATACAAGTTCCAGGCCATAATTACCACATTTGAAATGATTCTTGGTGGCTGTCCAGAACTCAATGCTATTGAATGGCGCTGTGTCATTATTGATGAAGCACATAGATTGAAGAATAAAAACTGCAAACTTCTAGAAGGACTGAAACTCATGAATCTTGTGAGTGTGTGCTCAGTTTCTTGAAGGAATGAGATATAAACATTTTATTGGATGTGAATATGTGCATTAGAACTAGGAAGTTAAACTGGAAATATAAGGGAAAAGGGATTGCAGCGTTTAGATCTCTACTTTGAGTGGCTTCTGTTGCTCATGGAGTAACTCCCACCTTCCAGATCCATGGGACATGTGGGTTTGGGATACCTAAGAATTTAATTAGTTTCCTGTTTGCCAAAAGATCTGAGAATATTTTGCAGCTTGCAAGTCAAAAGCAGTGCACGTTCCTACCAGCTTAATGTTAACTTTGTTTTACTACTTTGTCTTCATGTACCTTTACATTGACACCTCACATGAAACATGTGCATGCATCTTGCCTTACCTTGTCCTATAAATGTATTCATGCACCATGTCATTTATTATCTTGATTGAATTCTTAGCAAATACATTGTAATAATTACTTTTTTAAATGGAAAAATAATTTACAGTAATATTCAGTCCAGATCCTTTTGAGAGCAATAACAAAATCTATAAGCCTCAGTCTATCTAGAGAAGATTCATTGAATCAGTGGAAATCTATATAAAATCCCATTGATTCAGTGACTCTACTCCAGGTGGGATAAAGAATTGGAATTAGGCCATTAATTTTAAGATCTGATTTAATTTTTTTTAAGTCATGAGAAGTTATTAATTATATTTGTCTTTTTATTTATATGCGTGTGTGTGCTATTGCTATATGTTCCATGAATGTTTCAAGATAGAAAATAACTTGGCTATCTGTAGTATGTTAGAGGATAATGCGAAGTGTATATCTCCCATAGGAGCACAAAGTGCTGTTGACAGGCACCCCACTTCAAAACACAGTGGAAGAGCTTTTTAGCCTTCTTCATTTCCTCGAGCCTCTTCGTTTTCCAGCAGAATCGACATTCATGCAGGAATTTGGAGACCTTAAAACAGAGGAGCAGGTACTGAAACTTTTTTGAAAAATCTATTTGACCATCAATTTTGATTCTTTGAGAGACTGAGTTTCAGGGCCCACAGTCAAAATTGGAACATTACCTTTTTAAGTACTTTAAAGCGTACGTTTATTTTCAAAAAGAATCTTTTCTAATCCAAAAATCGGAACAAGTTGCTCATCTTGTAACGGTGACCAGCTTTAGCATGTCACAGTAAATCAGGTAGTGGGTGTCTGAACAAATGTTGACTGGAGTGATTTTTCTTACTACTTTTATTCTTCTTGTCAATAGCAAAAAAAAAATGCTACAATTCACTGTGATTCCAAGAGAATAATACATAAAAACCTTTGCAGGAATCTTTGTAAATCTGCCCTTTCATAATGCAGAACCTGACTTGTGGGTTGAATATATTGGCCAAGATCCAAGAGCTATTTACAATGCATCAAAAGATTTCAGAAGACTAGGGTTACTTTGTATTAATTTATCACTGTGTTTCTTCGGATTTTTTTAAAAATACTACTCCATAAAGCTTTTGAAGAGCTTCAGAAATGCATGGCCAAAATCTCCTGCAGAGTGTGGAATAAACAAATGGATGTTTCATTCTGGTCTGTATCTATGATAAGCAACTGTGTTGCCCACAGGTCTTAACTTAGGAAACTGTTCTGTGCCCCAAGGGCTTCTTCCTGAATTTCTGAAATCACTGACCACTCTTCTTAAATACAGCTAAATTGTTAATCTGTGAAAGTGCAGTGTAACATTTGCAGAAGGTGTTAGAATGAAAGGTAGCCTGATTTTTTAGTCTTGGCATGCGCCACTGTTTAAATGTCATAATCTGTTTGTGGTGTAACAGTTAAGCAAACGCACATTCAACCATACTAAAAGCATACAGTAACTTATGGCCTGTTTCATTTAAATGGCATTTTAGCTGTTCATTTGTTTACTTTTAATTCCATATAGGTACAAAAGCTGCAAGCTATCCTGAAACCAATGATGCTGAGAAGATTAAAAGAAGATGTAGAAAAGAAGTTAGCTCCCAAAGAAGAAACTATTATTGAAGTGGAGCTCACAAATATCCAGAAGAAGTATTATCGAGCTATTCTAGAGAAAAACTTTGCATTTTTGTCAAAAGGAGCTGGGCAAGCTAATGTCCCCAACTTAGTTAACACTATGATGGAACTCAGGAAATGCTGCAATCATCCCTATCTTATTAAAGGTAAATTCAAAACATTTACCTACTTCAGTCTTTGTTAATGTTCATAAACATCATTCACCTTGGTAGTGTTAGAAGTAGGATGAACCTCATAAAGAAGTCAAGTAACTAGCTATAAAGAGCAAATACTGCTTACTGTGTTTGATCAGATTTTAGAGGAAATTGTCCTTTGTATATTTATTTACTATACTTTATAATGGTAGGAACTGTTGTTCTGTAACATTGATAGCGTTAGTATAAAATTTCGAAGATTACTGGTTGAACTTAAACGAGAATCTGGACATCTCTTTCAGAAACATTGAATTTGTTGCATAGGGTTTCATATTATGATAAATGTGCAGCATAGGTCAGACTTGTGTGAAATGTGACTGTATTTAAAATAATGCAAAATGGAGATGTTTTGTAGTATATTTGTTATCAATCAGGTGCTGAGGAAAAGATCTTAGGAGAATTTAGAGAGACCTACAGTCCATCTGCTCCCGATTTCCACCTGCAAGCAATGATCCAGTCTGCTGGGAAACTGGTCCTTATCGATAAACTTCTTCCAAAAATGAAAGCAGGGGGCCATAAGGTGCTTATCTTCTCTCAGATGGTTCGCTGCCTCGATATCCTTGAAGATTATCTTATACATAAAAGGTATGCTGCTTATAGGATAGGTATGCTAGTGATATAAATAAAGCCCTGTGCAATGGACGCTGTGACACATATTTTGGAAGATTAAAAGTGGATGTGTCTGAAATGGTGGCATACTGATTTTAGGCAATATATTGAATATTATCTTGTAGATATTTTATGGGATTTTGTAGCTTATTTGGAAATTTATTAACTGAGACACACTCCAGATATACAGGTATAGGTATGCTAGTGATATAAATAAAGCCCTGTGCAATGGACGCTGTGACACATATTTTGGAAGATTAAAAGTGGATGTGTCTGAAATGGTGGCATACTGATTTTAGGCAATATATTGAATATTATCTTGTAGATATTTTATGGGATTTTGTAGCTTATTTGGAAATTTATTAACTGAGACACACTCCAGATATACAGGTGAATGCCTTTAATAATCATGCTTGCTTTTAGTTTTGTGTCTGCTTAAAGAGGCATAACGCATCCTAAGCAATACTGCAAGACAAGTGCAGATGGAGTTCCCTGCTTAAAAGCTCTGGAAGTGTGAACTTGTTTGACATTGCCCTCTGAATGGAATTGTCAAAGCTGATACATAACAATATGTTGCAAAACGCCTAGCTGTGGGAGAATGGCTCCCTGCCAAATGCCTGTGGGCTCTTGGATTATGTGCTGTTAGCAGTTCTATGGTTAATTAGTGTGGAAGAAATTTATGGCACTTGAGGCTAGTGAGTGAGTGAAAAAAGCACACGTCTACACACAGAAAGATTCTACTATTTTGTTTGTGTATTAGCAGAACCAGCTAGGCATTATATCTTGCAGGAATTTATTTATTTATTTATTTATTTATTTATTTATTTATTTATTTATTTATTTATTTATTTATTTATTTATTTATTTATTTATGTATTTCAGTTTAATAT